GGATTGGGGCCCCCCTCCCCCTGCCGCAGGAGCCCTGCTTTGAGCCCCACCTCCAGCTCCCTCAGCTGATAATGGAGCCTTCCTTAGATTCTCTCTTTCTCTGCCCCTCTCTCCCTGCTCTCTCTCTCTCTCTCTCTCAAATAATTTTTTTTTAATTTAAAGAAGAATAAAAAGAAACAGGTGAGGGGCACCCGGATGGCTCAGTCAGTGGAATTTGTGACTCTTGATCTCAAGGTTGTAAGTTCGAGTCTCATGTTGGGCGTAGAGATTGCTTAAAAAAAAAAAAAATCTTAAAAAAAAAAACAGGTGAAACTAACATTAATAATATATTCAATTATCCAATATATCTAGCATGTGATCATCTCAACAAATAATTACGGAATTATTAATGATATACTCTAAAATTTTTTTTCCCCCGCTAATGTCTTCAATATCCAGTGTTTTATACTTTGGAAACAAATCGGAACAGAAGCTAAATTGTGAGGGCTTAAAGTAAAATGCTGTGGGGCGCCTGGGTGGCTCAGTCAGTTAAGCGGCCGACTTCGGCTCAGGTCATGATCTCACAGTCCGTGAGTTCGAGCCCCGCGTCGGGCTCTGTGCTGACAGCTCAGAGCCTGGAGCCTGTTTCAGATTCTGTGTCTCCCTCTCTCTGACCCTCCCCCGTTCTTACTCTGTCTCTCCCTGTCTCAAAAATAAATAAATAAATAAATAAAAAAAGTAAAATGCTGTTCTACCAAGACAATTAAATTGTGTTTAGGGGACAACATGTTTTACTTGCTTTAAAATTAAAGTTAAATCACGTGCAAATTTTCAGCCTCTTAGCCATATTTTAAATGCTCAATAGCTTCGTGTAGTAAACGGCTACCATATTGAGTAGCACCCTAGAGCAAGAACTCCTGGTGCATGATCCAGGGAGAATAGCAAAGAAGTTAAGACCTGTTGGGTTTACAGCATAGGTGCCAAATAGCCTTGAGCCTCAGTTTCCACGCCTATAAAGTGGGAGTAATTACACCTTTCCTAGCATGGTAGTCCTCCGGATTAAATGCACTAAGGCACCCTCAAGTCAGATCCCATTTCCCGGGTTCAAATCTCACCACTTCCAAGTGATGAGATTTTAGGTAAATGACTTAAGCTCTCTGTGCCTCAGGTTCCTCATCCACAAAATGGGGATAATAATAGCACCTACTTCATAGGTTCGTCATGAGAATCACATGACTTAATACCTGTGAAGTGTCTGGAATATAAATGCTGTCTAAGTATTCGTTAAAATGTAAAGAAAATAGGGGCGCCTGGGTGGCGCAGTCGGTTGAGCGTCC